TCACAACTTCACCAAATTCTGATTTCACAATACAAGCATTAAGAAAGGTGTTTAGTCGAGAAGGGGTTCCCATGGTGTTGGTAACTGATAGTGGCTCACATTTTGCTGCAGATGCAGTCACTACCTGGTTGAACGATATAGGGTGCAAACATCTATTTACTGCTCCCAGACATCCGTGTTCGAATGGTCAGGCAGAGAATTTTGTTAGGACATTAAAGACTGCTATTGATTCTATAGCCTTCCAACATTTAATGAGCTGGAGAGGGGAGTAGATACCTTTCTATTGCAATATAGAAATGCCAGACATTCGGTGACGAAGGAGACTCCAGCGAAGCTATTGAAAGGAAGAATTCTTCGGTCGAACATGAGATGTTTGGAGTCTGCAGAAGTTACATACTATCGAGGAAATGATCTTCGACCATTTACGGGTATTGTACTGAAGAATGTCGGAAAATCGATAGTGCGAATTCTAGACATCGATGACTTAAGTACACACAGTCGACATGTAGATCAAATACAGTTTCAGGAACCAGGTGAGTCAGTTCCAATTTCGATTGTTAATTCTAATGCAAATGAACATATTCTAGATAATACAGAATCCTTGTCCAATACAATCTCAGACAGACTCAGGATGAATTTGAGAAGAAGACGTACAATTGATTACAAACACCTAGACTCCAACTTAAGCTGTGGCGGATGTGGTGTTTGAATGAACCAATGATACCTTTGCACTTGTTGAATGCTCGATTTCGAATTCCAAATACAATACATTCGTTTGTGCTTGTGTCTCACTTCTTAATTCAGTTGCGCTAATTCTGGGATTCCTAGTTCATACTACAATTCAAATTATTCAAAATATTATAAGCATGCACAACTTTAGTTAGAACTAAGCTTGAGAACTACGTTCATGCTGCAATCCCCCGTTTAAAAGGTTACTCGGATATCCTATTTAGTCTGTCCTATTGCAGACTGACAGGTGATTTAATTTTGACGTACAGAATACTAAGAAATTATTTTAGACCTAATATATTCTTTCTTTTTCTTCCCACTAGATCGGGACATAGCAGGTGAGTAGAAAAGCCAAAAACTAACAAAATACCAGTGACATACAGGTTTTCACACCGAGTCATCGATTCCTGGAACCTGTTGTCCGAAGTAGTGACGTCCGCACCTTCAATTGACACATTCAAGAGAAGACCGGAGACTCTTAGAGGCATACTAGAAAAGGAATAAAATAGGCCGTAGGCCTTTTGTCCTTGCTACACAAATCTAAAACTTAAACCATTCTGAGTGGTAAGGGAAAGTATTTCACAGAACTAAAGGTATGCCATACAAATGCTCGGAAATTACTAAATAGAATGACGGAGTTCAGTACCATGGTTAACACAGAAAATTCTAATGTCATAGCCATCTCAGAAACATGGGTAACATGATGGTGTAATTCAATAATTTGACTTTTTACTTTGCAAAGCCAACGTACTAAATCTCAGTAGTGGTGTGATTATTCTGTACACATAAAGCTCTGAACCACGTGAGCTGTTGTGAAAGTGGCACGAGACTCAGGGACATGTGAACTGGTGTGCGGTAGGCTGAAATATAAAAGGCAAGACATTTGGCTGTGGTAAACTGCAGTCCAGAATATGTGTAGACATATGGCCTATTTCGTTATTGGTACTGCTCTAATAATAGACCTAATCCTAAAATATATTTAACGTGAATAAAAGATATAAGACAACACTCAAGAATGACCACGCCTGCAAGGCCGAGTCATTTCATCTGATGAATTGAATTTCGAGTGAATGTTACTGCGTCCACCATTACTGACCTTTTCTTAGTGTTACATGTTGAAGGTCTGTTTTCCCGGTTATTTCATGTTCAGCTTTGAGGAATGTGGTTTGTATCCAATGCCAGTACATATGTAGCGAATGACGTCCTCCTAACTAAACTTAAACCCTGGCTAAGCAAGTGTAAAAGCCCCATAGTAGGTGACTATAATTCATCGTCTATGAATCGGGGAAACTTAGAAGTAGGGTCATTAAAAACATCGTTTGATTGCAAATTGTTAGGAACATGAATCTCTCTAATTTTATTCCAGTACATTAGAGATTTCATCGGATATGATCAACAAAAATCCTCATCTCTCTTAGACTTCGTCTTCTCATACGGCCAGGCTATCAGTCAAATAAATTTCCTCTCACCTTTATGGAGAAGTGAACATTTGGTCGTTAAGTATATGACTGAGATTGCCCATCAATTATTTGCACCGGCCCGTCCTAACATATGGAAGGCACACAAAAGCGATCGACTCTGTAGACTCGGTTAAAATGTGAACAATTGATTTAGGAGTATCAGAAGAGGCACGGACTCATTTCTGGCAGTTAAGCAATCAAGTATGTTATGTCCTAATGAGGAAGAAATGAATGGCAACCTCTAGGAACTATTTATGGACAAATATTATACGTATATTCTTACTGTATGAATATTAAGTAACTACAGTATGTATTTTCATACTCCTTTTATTATAAGCTTTCATTTGACTATTTGATGATTTTCTAGTCCCAACATATTCTTAACCCATAAGTCACACCCCCTCGCAACCACAGTGCGCAATTGTTATTTTCTATTTTATGATATGATGCGGCCTAGTTTGTTTGCATATAAATCAAGTATGTCTGAAATATATGATTCGTATAGTGAAGAATGATATTGGTATTCTAAACTGAATTGTAGGAGCCACTATCTCAAAGGACCAATTAGAACTCTAGGCTGCTCGTACAGGTTTATGCGCCATTGGTCTGGTCGTGCAACTCGGTGTCTCTGATTGGCGATTTTATCGCATGGTGGAGAAGATTTGTAGATCGGGTGGATGATTTTGATCGAGTTTGTCATCTGAGCTGGATGGTTTGGTCGTGGAGCTTTCATCGTTCTTCTGAACGACATCATCACAAACTTCCGATAGAAGTGAAGTGTGGCACACAAACCGACAAAATCACTACAATCAATCCTATGCAAACCAAAGGGTGAAACAACAAAGGAATACAAATCAAACATCATCTACAAAATAAATTTTGCCAACTGCGAGCAACACTACATCGGACAAAGCGGACGCCCCCTTCACCTTCACCTACATGAACATCAATTAGCAGTCAAACGCCATGATGCTCCCTCCCTTGTATCAGTACACGTGAACAGCTGCGGACACTCATTCGATTGGAAAAATGTGGAAATCTTGGACAGAGGAAATTACAAAAACGTCAGAATTTTTAGAAGCCTGGCATTCAGGTCAATCAGTAATCAACAAGCATATTGATATCGATCCTATTCATCAACCAATCAGGAAAGTTATGCACAAATACAGGAACAAAAATCAAACCAATGGGAGACAACCAAAACAAAGAAGTAAACAATAGCAAATTTAAGGTCAATAAGAACCAATCAACGTCAAGGTGTACAGAAAAAGCTGTGAAACGCATATGGAGAAATTCGAATGCTTCACTTCTATCTGAAGTTTGTGCTGCTGATGTCGTTCGGAAGAACGATGAAAGCTCCACGGCCAAACCATCCAGCTCAGAGGACAAAACTCCATCAGGATTTTATCATATGATAAATTAAAAGGGCCGAAAGACATAACAAGCAACTCTACCATTTTTGCCCTGGACGGTCACAAGGAAGAAGTACGAGCATCCCTGGTTAGACCGGGATATTCAGTGTTTACTCAGACAACGGAAAAAATGTCGAGACGTTGCCATCAGCCTTGACGCGGCAAGTGCGATGGAAAGTTACAGATTGGCATGCAGTAAGTATATAATTACATTCCAGACAGCTCAGTGAAATTATGAAAAGCAGTTGGCTCAATCTGTAATTAAGCAGCCCAAAGACTGTTCCCGTACTCGAATTATAGAAGAAGAACGCAACATTGGATCCTCAACCTAATTAAGGAAAGGAGTGGATCAAAAATGATAGAGAAGGACAAATCAGAGGCTACAACAAACTATTTCGGGTCAGTTTTCACTGAACAGTCTCCTCTAAATGAAGAAATAGACCCAAATAAGAGGTCAAAAAATCGTCTGCTCATTGCGGACTTCGGTCGAGACGGTGTACTTAAGGCACTTTGTATACAGAAAAAGTAGCAGGATCGGATGTACTACACCTACACCTAAGTCAACATACACTTTGGGGATACAAAGGTAAATGGGTACAACATAGGGAAACTGTCTGTACCTGTGGTCCGAGCTCAAGGGGATTTTTGGGTGACTGAGTCATGATCTTAGGACCACAGCTCATCGCCAGGAGGTTGGAGCTAAGGGGTTCAGAATCCTATGAGCTTTAAGACGAACGTTTACCAAGTTAGATACTAATACGTTTAATGCAGTATGCACAGCCCTAGCCAGAATCAAACTTGAAAACTGCTACCTGGCCGAAAGTCATCGTTTATAAGGTCACCCATACATCATGGAGAAAGTATATAGAGCGAATCCCCCTATAATTCCAGAACTCCATGAAAAAAGAGGCTTGAGAAGTTGGACTTATTTACTCTGCTCTACTGCAGATTAACAGGTGGCCCGATTTTGATGTATAGGATGCTAGGAGATGATTTTTGACCTGATATGCACTTTCTTTTTCTTCCTACCAAAACGGGACAACTCAGAGTATATAGCAGGTGAGTACAAGAGCGAAGAACGAATAAAGTATCCAAGGCATGCAGGTTTTCACACCAAATCATCAGTTCTTGCAATCTATTACGCAAAAATGTGGTGTCTACAACTTCAAATTGTTCAACCGAGAGGAGATAAGACACTCAGATTTTATAAGAAAAGGACTAACACAAGCCGTACGTCTTCGGTCCTTACTGCACAATTCTAAAATCTAATGCTGTAACTTTATTGTACTTGGTCTGAAATAAGGATAAGGTGATAAATAAGTGAATAAAGTATGACCTAACAAATCCATTTTATTCGTAGGGTACGGCTAGTTGTTTTGACACATGAGTTTACAAGTGAGAAAAATTGAAGATTATACATCTAATGTGTCGACGTATTTGAATTACAGCGATGCGAAGTAACAAGTGTGACTTTATTCATCTGAGACTGACTGAAAGTCTTCTATGTTCTCTGGAAAATATCAAACAAAACGTAAATATTACTTAATCTCCCACTAGTACTTTAGGGCGGTAAGATCACACTTGCTTGTGAACCGCAGCAAAACCCGGTATGTTTTAATGTGTTATTTTTCTGTTGTCTTTTTATAATACTTCTACTAGTTGTTTCTGAGAATCGAGAAAATTACTCAAAGGAAGTGACTCGTTAGAAACCCTGCGACAATTTTTTTATTCATTTCTGTTGGCTTTCATTATTAAGTTCATACCATTATTCATGAATAATGAGCTGCAGCTCACTAGCTCCTTTTCTAGTTCATCTTTCAATTTTTTTGTAACAATCCCGTTCATAATAAGCACTTTTAAGTACTTTAACGGTAAATGGTATGAGTTGTTTGGTTTCTAACTTAGGCTGGCGAGGATTTTTAAACATCATGTATTCAGAGTAGCTAAGTCTGTCTTAAATCTAGGTGACCGAAATCTATAAGTTGAAAACGAAATGCTTAAAATACCTCAGTCAATCATGCATTTTTATTGGTGGTCATTTGCTCTGTTACCAAAAAATTAAGTAGAGACGAATGATGGATCTAAATCAGCACGGATGAGATTTCTGTTAAAATGGAAAGCCAAAACATAACTAATGTTATAGTAGTTTGCTTTGACTGAGTAACTATCGATCCCTCCTTTCCAACTTTTCTATTTCTTTTAGAAGATTGTAGTTACTACTTCGGGATCAGATTCCGTTTATGAACTCGAACCCGACCATGGTACAGTATATTTTTCGCTCGTCAGTGTTAGGAAATCAGTGTAAGTTCATAACTTTCATTGGAGTACTTAAATACTGCTCACTTGCTGGGATTAGGTTAGTTTTAATAAGTAATTATTGATACCAGGTTGGTGCCAGGTTTTCTCTGGTCTTTACCACAATATCCAAAAACTCTTCACCTTCCATTAAACCAGTTTCAATCCTTATTAGTGCGGTAGTTTGGTGGTCAAAGCTTTAGAATTTTGACCATTTGATTGGCTGTTCGAAATTCATCTCAACTATATCTATTTGCCCCACCAGGATGCATCAATAGCCCTCATGCTAAGCGTGACTCAAAATATCATGCAACAACTTTGATGTAATCACATATTAAAATGTATATTTCCATCATAAGATTTGTTAGTTCCACTTATCGTTGCTGTACGAAACCCTACGGGTAGCTATATTTGTATTGTTCACTCTTCAGAAATGCCTATGTATTGCCTTTTTATTGATATTCCCAGAGTTATAGAAATGGGTTTTTTGTTACTAGCTAACATCTCGGCGAGTTCTGAGGTTGGATATATACAGCAAACTACTTTCTGTGATGTTAATCGTCACTCTAGAAAAAAAGTTAGAGAACTCAATGTTGAACTTGGCTGTTAGTTGTTTCCATCTACCCATCTTTCAGTGCTTTTGGGAACCGACAAAGGTCATAAGTAAAGTACACGGACTTAATAATAGAGATAGAACGTTGATATTGTTTTCAACTTTCGAGAAGTGTAACTCCATTACTAAAATGTTCTTTTTTACCTAATCGTCTTTGCACATAGGTAATAATCCGTTGTTCTGTCAATTTCATCATTTTATGGGAAATCCGCTCAGATAACAAAGAGTGTTCTACAAGATATGTGCTCTGTGGGGTAGTTTTTCGTATATGATTGCCAAATTCTATCATGAATTTACGGCTATAGATTAGGACCATCACTTGTCCTCTTTACTTTCGTATGCTTTGGCAAGACAACAGTCAAAGATTAGAGATTTATATTTAAGATCACTTTTAGACATTAGTTTTTTCCTAGTGCAAAAAACTCTTTTCGTTTAGAATTCCAGGCAGCATTTCGATTCTCATGACAATTATAACAATCTAGAGTTAATTACATCAGTAAATTTCTTCACAGACACGAGCCCATCAACTCCAACCATACTAGGCTGAACTCGATTTAACACAAAGTTATGTATCTGGGTTGTTTTATTTTCATTTCAATTTTTCTGGTTTCATACCTTCCACTCAAAAGCCCGTTTCTATTGTAATTTTAGACCATCGTGTTGTTTGTGTAACTTTGTATGAAAATTTTTCACAATAATGGAACTTTTAACGCTTTTCATAGCAAAGTAGGTGTAATGTAGGAATGCGAGACATGGTTTCAATATTTGTTTACCTTTCAAGTGGTTTTTGATTTCCAACTGTAAAAACATTTTTGCTGTTTTTATTATATCCTTCGATTTATTGTAGTGGAAAGTGTCTACAAAATATCCAGTATAGATACAGAACTAAAGCCACTGATGACAGCTTTGTTAAAGCACGTGAAAATCTTGTCAAGGAAGTGGAAAACAGTCGCCAACAAAAGTAAGACCAAAACAATAATTAAAACAATCATTTGTTTTAGAATCAAAGCGCTTGAATATCAGTTGAAATCTGCCTCGTTAATTAAAGACGAACGCAATACAAAGGCTAGAAAGTATGTTACCTTTATATCAGTTCACAAGTTTTGCTGACTTTAGTACACACAGTTATGGTTTCGAGTTGGAAAAAAGTTAGGGGCAGCCAAACCAAAACGTGATATCAGTCCATAAATTCACCACCTTCTGGTCTGGGCCATGTCGGTAGATACAGACTACTTGGTTGGGGTCCACATGACTATCGTAACCAATGGTTGGAGACTGTTGGTGACATGGCTCAAAATCGATCACAATGGCGTCGGTGTATACACTCTCAGTCTTCCCGTAAACTGTGAAATTAAAATTGCTTTATACCTTGCTTTCTATGAACTAATTATTTCTCCCTATATTATATTTTTATACACAATCTTTCTTTTATATATTACTACCATTGAAGTAACTACTTATATGAATTTGGTGTTTGTCTTGTTGTGCTGATGAGGTGTGGCAACTTGGACCGATGCATATATGTACCTAGTCTTACGTTGTAGTTGACTGACTGGTTTCGAGTTGCTTATATCAAACATTTGTTATTTTCCTGTTCATTTTTAGGAGCTTCTCTATCTTAGTAGTTCTGTAGATATAGTAATGTATAACACGACCAAAAATGGATTTGTTTAGATCATTACTCTTCAGGCTAGTAAGTATAACAATGTGAAAATGAACAGGTAATTAACGAGAAAGGAGAATATAGGTTTAGGCTAGTAAAATATTCGAGGTTAAAAGAGAGTTAAAATATGAGTGTTTCCGAACTTAATTTTAGCACGTATTGATTAGAGTTTCCAGCTATTGGTTTTTAATATTTTAGGGACCTTAGCCCTAAAACATACACTTGACACAATTCAGTTCAATACTTACTGAGTGCATGGTCGTTTCTATTTATTTGAAGACTTCCGTCCTGCGTTTGCGCAGACAGCACTTAGTATCACATTTTGTGGTCATTGATGTCGTAACATATTCTAGTTGAAATCCAATTCTCCTTAGTCGTTTATGTTTACCGGCTGACTCACTTCAAAGCTCATAATAGTTCTAACAAGCCAGCATTACTTTGGAGACACTTGAAATCGTGTACTTGTATTTAATAATGAAGCACTTTTAGTCTTATACTTTTGGGCCTAAACAACAGCACCTCTCGGTCACGTGTGATTTCACTACTATTTTGCATCTTCATGAAATAGGCTATACAGAAAATGTATTTTATTTTAAATCATAGATAATCGTAAGTAATATTTTATAGATGAGCTTGGCTTCCGTTAGTTCGACGTGTTTTACTAACATTTTTAACTTGTCGAAAATTAAGTCGATGGCTAACTATCATTTGCTAGACCATGCTTGTAGAAGAAAGTTCGGAAAGGCTAAAGCTGGATGTTAGACATTTACATACATTTATTGTCTTAATTAAAATTAAAAGTTGAAATTTCTATTAACACTATATTCATAGAAATATTGTGCTAGTTATTGTTAAAATAGAGTACACTGTAATGCCAAGTCACGTAGTCTATTAGTTATATTACCAGTCTACTCAGTCAAATTTAGTACTTCAGTCAGTCAGTTACAAAGTAGGACCAGGTACATATATGCATCGGTCCAAGTTGCCACACCTTATCAGCACAACAAGATAAACACCAAATTCATATAAGTAGTTACTTCAATGGTAGTAATATATAAAAGAAAGATTGTGTATAAAAATATAATATAGGGAGAAATAATTAGTTCATAGAAAGCAAGGTATAAAGCAATTTTAATTTCACAGTTTACGGGAAGACTGAGAGTGTATACACCGACGCCATTGTGATCGATTTTGAGCCATGTCACCAACAGTCTCCAACCATTGGTTACGATAGTCATGTGGACCCCAACCAAGTAGTCTGTATCTACCGACATGGCTCAGACCAGAAGGTGGTGAATTTATGGACTGATATCACGTTTTGGTTTGGCCGCCCCTAACTCTTCCAATCATCTCCAACACTAGTCAGCATTGCGCGTCGTGGTAATCAGTGTCTGGGCATACGTAACACGTGGCCCAACGATGTCAGTCGATGAAGATTCGCACAGTATACTTGTCCTTTAATTGATAGACGGATATTTCACCTTCACCATAGGTGATGTAAGTTGGCAAAAGCGAAACGAGCTTTGTGAATCCGTGCAGAGTTTTGGTCAGACACCAACCAACTAGGGTTGATCAGACTTCCAAGATAAGTGAAGTTGTCGATGCGTTTGACTACTTCACTCCCTATCCTTGATTCAGGTGTTGATGTAGATCAGTCCTGAAGCAACAAGCGTGCATTTATAGAGAGGGAAAAGGCAATAAAATTAGTATTTATCAAAATGACACTAACTACTAATCAGCGACTGATCACTGTAAATAATACTTTTCCGTAGATGATCTGTTCTTGACTGGACAATCTATTGGCCACATATTCAATTACAGTACTGAAAAACAAATGTTTATATATCCTAGCACAAAATCAAGACCGGTTGATTTCGAACAGTGACCATCCCGACCGTTGTTGCTACCTTATCGTGGCGGTCGGGTTTGCCTATCGTGATGAAGCAACCGAGTTATACTGGCTGGAACAACCGTTCCTCAACGTCCTACCATGTCAGACATGTCAGTTGAAAAGCGGTAAGACTAAGAGGAACAAACCCAAGGTCCGAAGGCGAAGTCATACTGCTAACTGTACAGAAGTGTGACAGCAGTAAGGTGTTTCCTTCAGACAACCACCATGACAGCGATGCTGCCTTCCCACAAGGAGGGCTGGGGTTAGAAAAGGTCAACCCTAAAAATGCACACCTCGCCTCATCCCACGGATATCCGTCTCCGGCGGTAAGGTCTCAACAAGTACGGAGCTAATACTGCGGTCACGCTCCCAGGTCACTAAGACCACTAATCCAATTTCCTTTTCAGGTACCTCCAGAACAACCCTTCCACGGTGTGGGCAACCGGGAAGTGATAACCGCCCTCATACCTCTAACAGCACTCAAGACCACTGTATTCATAATCAACCTCTGTCTTCACTTCCTATTATTTCTCCTACATCGACTTTCAACGCTAAACTTCCTCTTTCGGCTTCCCCCTCAAGTGTCACCACAGCCAACGATTCTAGTGCTCAAAACACTGTCCCAGGTCTACTGAAACCTCGCTCCAAACTACACATTGGAGCCTTCAACGTACGCACACTATGTCAAATCGGTCAACAGGCTTCCTTGGCTAGAGCCCTAGAATCTCGTACCATTGATGTATGCTGTGTCTCTGAAACACGCATACAGGATTCCAGTGTGGTCATTCACTTGACCTCACCTCGGCAAAACGGAGAGCCAACGAGATACACCCTCTGTGTATCTGGTGACCCGAAGACCAGCTCTCGTGGACTGGCAGGAGTAGGGATAGCACTAAGCATGAGGGCGGAACAAGCACTGTTAGAGTGGATCCCCGTTAACAGTCGTTTATGTGCTGTTCGCTAAACGGCTCCGTAAGAACTCGGAAGGATATGGACACACGTCGTTGCCTTTTTGTCGTTTCTGCCTACGCTCCCATCGACTGCAGCTCAGATGAAATGAAAGATGAATTTTACAGAAAGCTATCTGAACTTCTTCAGGAAGTCAGTCAGCTACGACGTAGGACCAGGCACATATATGCATCGGTCCAAGTTGCCATACCTCATTAACACAACAAGATGGACCCCGAATTCATAAAAGTAGTTAATTCAGAGGTGGTAATATGTAAAAGAAAGATTGCAATAAGGATATAGTACAGGAAGAAAGAATTAGTTCGTAGAAAGAAAGATATGAAGCGATTTTAATCTCGGACCTTGGGTTTGCTGCTTTTAGTCTTACCGCTCTTCAACCGACCTGTCTGACATGGTAGGACGTTGAGGAACGGTTGTTCCAGCCAGTATAGCTCGGTTGCTTCATCACGATAGGCAAACCCGACCACCACGTCAAGGTATTACCAACGGTCGGAAAGCTAAACGTTCAGACATAGTACTCGTAGCAGGTGACTTTAATGCCGAGATAGGTAGTTTAAACCAAACAGAAAGACATTTAGATGGGTATTTTAGTATTCCGGCACAACGAACAGATAATGATGATCGTCTGCTGCAACTGTGCTCAGACAATCGTTTATTTTTAGCAAACACAAATTGTCAGCATAAGGAGAGACATGGAACATTGAAGTAGGTCCCCCAACTCTTGCTGAAGTTCAAAAGGCTATAGCTAATCTGAAACGAGGAAAGGCAGCTGGTCCAGATGGATTGGTTCCAGAGGTCTTTAAGGATGGTGGTCCAAGTTTAGCGATTAGGTTGACTAATATTTTAGCTAAGATCTGGGAGTTAGACGTTATCTTATCTAACTGGTCACAATCACTTATCGTCCTAATATATAAAAGAGGGTTAAAATCATCTTGTGACAACCATAGAGGGATTAGTTTAACTAATATAGTATCTAAAATACTAGCCTCGATAATTATCAGACGCCTAACTAAGACTCGTGAACTGCAAACACGAGAGAACCAAGCTGGCTTCAGACCTGGTCGTGGCTGCATCGACCACATATTCACCATTCGTCAGGTTCTAGAACATAGGCATACTTACCGGCGTCCGACAATGGTGGTCTTTCTTGACTTCTAAGCAGCATTCGACTCGGTAGACCGCGAGATTCTGTGGCAGTGTCTGTCATTGAAAGGTGTACCTCAGAAGTACATAAACCTTGTGAAGGCTCTTTACTCGAACACTACTAGTCGAGTCAGGGCTTATGGCGAACTGTCATCTACTTTTGCAACCTCAAGTGGTGTCCGTCAAGGCTGTCCACTTTCTCCATTTCTGTTTAACTTCATCATAGACCTATTGATGGAAATAACACTCTCGTCGACTGAGTTCTCGGGTATTGATCTCCATCCAGGAGGTCCACTTATCGACTTAGAATACGCAGATGATATAGTCCTGTTTGGTGAAGACGCTGACAAAATGCAGAGTCTTCTGGTAGCACTAAGCAACAATCCCAGAATGTTTGGAATGCGCTTCTCTCCCTCTAAATGCAAGCTGTTGCTTCAGGACTGATCTGCGTCAACACCTGAACTGAGGATAGGGAGTGAAGTAGTCGAAAGCGTTGACAACTTCACTTACCTTGGAAGTCTGATCAGCCCTAATGGATTGATGTCTGACGAAATCTCTGCACGAATTCGAAAAGCTCGATTGGTTTCTGCCAACTTACGTCACCTATGGCGAAGGCGAAATATCCGTCTATCAATAAAAGGACGAGTATACTGCGCGGCAGTCCGTTCTGTTTTAATTTACGGCAGCAAAACGTGGCCATTAAGAGTAGAAGACACTCGTAAGCTATTAGTATTTGACCACAGATGCCTTATAAATATTGCTGGCGTCTGCTGGGATCACCGGGTAGGTAATAGTGAGGTTAGACTCAGTGTATTAGGGAATGATGGTAAATCAGTTGATGAGGTTGTGAATCTTCGTCGACTGAGATGGTTGGGCCACGTGTTGCGTATGCCCGAACACCGATTACCACGACATGCAATGCAAACCGGTGCTGGAGATGGTTGGAAGAAAGTTAGGGGCGGCCAAACCAAAACGGGGCATCAGTGATTGAACTCACTAACTTGTAGTCTGAGCCATGTCGGTAGATGCAGACTACTTGGTTGGGGTCCGCGTGACTATCGTAACCAATGGTTGGAGACTGTTGGTGACATGGTTCGGAATCGATGACAGTGGCGTCGGTGTATACACTCAGTCTTCCCTTAAATTAAGAGATTAAAATTGCTTCATATCTTTCTACGAACTAATTTTTTCTTCCTGTACTATATCCTTATTGCAATCTTTCTTTTACATATTACCACCTCTAAATTAACTACTTTTATGAATTCGGTGTCCATCTTGTTATGTTAATGAGGTATGGCAACTTGGACCGATGCATATATGTGCCTGGTCCTACGTTGTAGCTGACTGACTGAACATTGACCATCAATAGCTGGTTCAGTAAGGCGTTGCAGTGGCTTAGTGTTTACGACATTCAGGTTTCGACCAGTATGTCACAGGTTCGAATTCTCCTTCATCCGATTCAGTTTGAGCAACTGAGTATTGCCACTAGCCATCACAATAACAGTGTTTCGCAAAGCCGATTACGTATATCTGTACTCGTTAAATAGGGTGCATTAAAGAAGATACTGAAATTATTTGTTGTTTCTGAGTTACCATTTTTTTAATATGAATTATTTGTTAGAGGCTTTTATACTGCAGCCTAGGAATTAAGAAGCTTCGTGCCCAAAAGTTGTGAAATTTAATTCAGTTTCTATTTTGATGAAATCAGAAATTTGAAAAGAAATTCACTTTCTGGGCCTCCATCGAAGATGCCGAAAATTTCGGTTGGTAACAATGTGAGTTGTATTGTCTTTACACCTGTTGTTTAAAGACAAGATATACTATTCCTTAATAATATATAATTATAGCGTTTTCAGCTTTTTGTTAAAACTATGAGTCGTCACCCCATAAATCGTTTTCTGTCCTGGTTATAGTCGGACAGTTGTACATTTTCGAAAGAATGTTATGTGCATTCGTGTGCAGATCTGTCTAACTGTTAGATCTCAGATCTTGTGACTTGCGTGTTTCTAGACACCGAGAAATGTATCTTGGCCTCATATAGGGTGAGTCAAAATAATGTAAAATAAATTTTTCAAGGTTAACAAATTAATTGTTGGTAATTTTTTGTGCATTACTGCACGTTCAAGCTGCGAAAACTAAGGATAGTCATTACAAACTATAACGATTATCCCTAAATGGAAGTATAGGTTATTCATCTAGCGTTTCCAAAATGTTAAACATTCGTTGATATGAAACTTCAGGGGACCTGACGCAAAATTCGTTGCAAGTTCATAAAATCTGTTCATTTTTCCCTTTAAATTCTAAACGTCTTATTAATTATTTATCTATTTATTTTATTATTTACTTATTCACCCTTCTTACTTTTGTGTTTCTATGTTATGGAAACCCAAGCAGATTTAACTTTTGGAAAGTTTTCAAGTCTTAATCTACGTCTATACGCTTTGTATAGTTAGGAAAATTGACTTCATGTTCAAATCTTGGACAGGATGTAAAATATTCATGTTATCGTAATTAGCACATTTTCATTAACTAAAAATTGGGATGAGTACCACATTAAAATGCCAACTTTAAATGTTTGAATTTCAGCCGATTTTTTAAAATTATTTTAATAATTTATAAAATCGCTAGTAATTTTCTGTGTAGTTTAGGGACTAAATCTGAATGACAATTGATAAGCTTAAGCTTTGAGCCTGTACACTTTTCATCTTACTTTAGATTTTCAACTTTATATGAGTTTTAAAATTTTTATGTATCAAGTTAACTATCTCATGACTCTAATGAAATTCATTTCTATCAACTATTTACTTGTGTAAGTAAAAATAATAAGCAGATGTATAGAAATTGCCATAATTTCACAAGTATATTTTCTACAGTTTTACTCATATACCCACAGTATTATTACACCATTAAAATTTTTATATCATGCTTAAATTTGATATTATCTAAATAAATTAATCCGTACCTACAATTTGTTAACTATAAATTCTAAGTCATTTTTCTGCAGGTTATTTTTTTACTTCTTTTGCAGAAGACAAGAAACTCAGATATTCCGTCTAACATGTAGGTTATACATACTAGTTGTTATTCTTATTGCTCTTAGTCTCACCACTTGTTAATGACAGTTCTCTTATTTTTTCTGAGTTCTTTCAATTTCTACAGACTGATGACTCAGTTTGTCTTTGATATTAAACACTGAGTATAATAATCCATCTGATCTAGAATAAATCAAGCGTTTCTTCAATAAAATATTTGCCACTTAAATCACAAATAGGTTTTTGTACTTGACAAGAAGAACTATATTTATTTCGTCAGAATTTAAATCTACCTCGTCGTCTAAACTGAAATGAAATATGGTGTAAAATCTAATGATTGAAGTTGATTGTTCAAGTTACCACTGGTTCATATTTTCACTCACTATTCTATTTCTAAAAATGAAGTGTTTTAAGATTTTTATTTAAGTAATAAGACAGGACGTAATTGTAAAATTTAAACAGTATGTGATTTTAGCGGTGGAATCCAGGACGCGCGTTTCTTCCTATCTGGGACTCGTCAGCTGGATGTACCTGCATTTGTATCGTAGAATTAATGAGCTTTTATATTGTTCATAGTCCGTTATATCTATGTTTACACTATTCCATATCATTTGTACTGAACGCTTTCAAAGTTTCATGCATATTGCGTACACGAGAGTATACTGCAGATGTTTTTTCTTAAAAATAAGTTTTCCTCCAATAACTTAGGAATCGTCAACTTTATTTCAACATTTACTATCAATAACCTCAGCGTGAACTACAGTTTCAAATAAACATATATTTCCTGAGTTAGATTTATCATCATTTTTGTCACTGCACAGGCATTTAAGGGATAAAGGTCATCATAATTGTCTACTTAATTAATATACCCATCACACTTTGCGGTTCGCATTGTCAGTCATTACAATAAGGGTTTCTTTGTACAAAGTCATTTTTTAAGTGCACTGACAAATGTTTGCAATAGTCAGTTGGTTCATTCACCCTACGTTTTTCAATCGAAGTGGCAACTGGTGTTACTTGATCCCTTGATATCACTTTTATAATACTTACCGATAGTTATCGAATTCTCATTCAAGCCATCGATGTATTTAAAAATTAAAGTCATTGACTTAGTTTCTTTTATCAGATATTACTTACATCATTAATGATGAATTGCCTAAAATTATCCACATACTAACTAGTGGAGCGGCCACTACGTTATAGAAAATGGATTCGTCCAGAATAATCTATTCTATAAACTTCATAACTCGTTCACATAATCCTTGTACAAGCTATTATTTACTTGTGCACTTCCTCAACTATACAGAAATACTATACTGAAATATGAAGTGCTGTCTTTGTTTAAGAGGTAGAACTAAGTTGGAACCCACGATTGATTAGTTAAAAGTTGAGTGCTACTTCTGATTCGTTTGGGGTAGGAAATGATTGCAAATATTTCTGTAAATATTTTCAAGCAGGATATCTTGTCCTCTAGAGTTCTCATATGTGCTTAAAGTATATAGTAGAATAAGTACGTCAATTTGTCTCATCGTCTTTGCTTTAGAAATATCTGTTTCAACTGATGGTGTTCAAAACAAGCTGTTTACAGAAAGGATAAGCTATCATGGAAACTAGTGTTCCTTCACTTTAAGTATGAATATCAGTTGCGGTTAGCAAAGTTTTATTCTTGTTAACCAAATGTTATTACTTACTATCTATTATTTCATTGTAATCCCTTGAGGCGTTTTTGTTTTCTTACGTGCAGCCCATCTTCCAAAGAGAAGAGTGTTCAAAGACATGGGAATTTACCTAGTACTTCACCTGAATTAATAACTAATTCCCTTGTCAATATTAAAGCAAAGGTCTCTGACAAAAGTGATAAACAAAAAGTGACACATACTTCAGGAACAGCTGATGTGAATGATGTTGAGAAAGTTATTTATAATAAGTGTTTGTCAGCGGTACAAAGGAGAAATGTATTAGAACAACGCCTCCGTGAGGCATATACAAATACCGACGAGTTTGTAAGAGCCGAAGAGATTGAAGTGAGTTTTCTTTTACTTAGGAAAAATTTCTAAATAATAATTGATTACTTATGGATAACTGGTGTCATACTGTCTATTTATTAGAGTTGTGCGATTTTCGCCGATCATTTTTACGTGTCTATTAAACAGAATGACCCATGTTGCACTAATAGGTGTCCATTTATTAAAACCGGTCAACGAAACTGTAAATCTAAATTTTGTTTGTTAGCATTAATTAGTATGATGCATGTACAACTGATGCTCCATATAATCATTCTAATCCATATGACTGAATAACAAAGCCATTTACCGTTAATACTAGTTCTTTTTTTTTTACACCGGTAGCGACTTTCTTAAGTGCTGAATCAAGTATACTAGTTATTCAGTATAGGTCAAATTCTATCGATAAAGTTTATAATACAACCACTCATCCAGGCAACTCTTTTCTGTCATGTAACATAGTTTTTGTAACTGAAAATATACCTTTTTGTTGATTATCCTGAATAAATTTTCTGTGGTATATAGCTTTCGATATATTTTACTTCTCCTTAGGCTACACTTTATCATATCGGATGATTTTCGTCTTCCTTCTATTCACTCCTTACTTCTTACATGAGTAGTCTATCAAAGCTAATACGACCATATTTTAGTGGTCCTATATCTGATTCCAGATGGAGTATTTCTGCTTATTATCGAAGTATACATGTTGCCAATCCTCGTATATATTTATCGACTTAATCCGCGTTAGTGAATAACAAAATTAAATAAGCCAAATACGAGAACGGATTTTTGAATGCGTATATTTTGTACACTCATTGATTTGAAGAGACAATCAGAGGGATAAAGCGAAGAGAGTGAAACGAAACGACGTGCAGTGAAGATGGCATGTAAAGCAACTCAATTTAACCAAGCGTCAATCGATATTTATAGCCAGACGAAAATAAGTTACAGATATGTTTTGAATAGGATAAGAAGTGTACACACATACTCTCATATAAAAACAGTCAAGTTCGATAGGTGAATAATTAACAAGGTCAAAATATGACTCAAGAAAAATGAACAAATTGGCCTATCCAGAAGGTAGAATAAGTTATATGGGCTTAACATAGTAACCAACACTACAAACATAACCAACGAAGTAACAAAACCTCGGTTACATTCATCAATCTAGTTTCAAATGTTTACCATATATATTGCATCATTAATTCCTCGTAGAAACACGTAGTTTACTTCCCAATCTAAGACAACGTTCATGTGTAGTAAACTGTTAAAATAAACAATCGAAAACTACCGAAGGGGGGATAAAATTATTTATAGATTGATACTAGCAGCAAAAAGGATCTTAGGTTTATAAGAAAAAGGTCATATTGCCACCGATTATACTTTGTAGTGGACTTGATTGATGACGCTGTGAATTGTCAGAAGTTATTTTTATCAATGTACTAAAATTAAGTATCTTTGTTAACAAACAGTATGACATAGACTAAAATGAAGGGTATTTGATCACTTAATCACCTTGATTTTTGTCATCTTTGATTGTTTGTGTTTTAACTAATAAGTATCTCATGTTCATGCTACTTTTGATAAATATCATATATACAAAAACTTTTATACCCTGATGTATACTAACATCGGAAGTTGATTTGTCGCAATATCTTCTGAAATATGTTATCGTGATTTTATCCTTTCAGTTCATTTTCTTTGGATTTCGTGTTTTCGTAATTATTTATACCTTTTCTGATGTTTATCAGCTGTTTTGATTGCTTTTTTTGTTTTATAATAATAGAAAATTAAAATGGATCTATGCGCTCTTGTTGATGATCTATACACCGATGAATTGTTGAAAAAATGGATACCTATGTCTATTGGATCTGGATAGTTTTGCTGTGATATCTTGTCTTCTTGTGCATATTTTCTTATAAGAGTAGTATATCAAACTATGCAAAATTTTTATGTGTATTCATTTTTGTATAGATTGTAAATAAATTCACGCTACACAAACATGTTTAAATTCATTTTCTTGTTGTTCTGGTATGTTCGTGAGACGCTATTTCTTGTTTGCTTCGTTTAAATTGAATTTATTTTTGAAGGATATTAGAGCAGACATTTCATTTTGTTGATGACATGCCTTTATTAATGTGTAAAGATTCCGGCTTGTTTGTAATTTCGTTAACACTCGGCTTTCATGGATTTATTAATTTACAAATCAACATTGTATCCAATGTTCTACTAAGATACGATAAATTTTTTAAAACTTGGAATTAAAATAAGTGGCGTTTGGAAGACATTAAAATAAAGATACTTGTAAAATATTTCCGTGATTCAAACTCTCAGTGGTGTATGGGTTAGAAGCTGACCCTGGCTGTAGAATTCTTGATCGAGATCTATGAACCTATCGTTATTCATGGTTGGTGTTAAATTAATTAGCTTGGAGTTTCTCGCAGCTGAGTAGATTCACTTATCCCATATCTTACACTAATCCTCGAGCTTAGTCTTATTGTAAACTTCTGAATTTTGCTACTTTTTTGGAAATCATACTGTCTGTGGATGTTTCCAGTACACACCTCATCTGTTAAATACAATGGACTACATGATTAAATACCGATTACTTGCCTATGACTCCTAATAGCCAATTGTTTACGCAATATTTTCTCTACCACTGATTTGATGAAGTATTTACAGTTTACGTAGGTTTCAGCTCTTACTTACTTACTTACTTACGCCTGTTACTCCTAATAGAGCCTAGGCCGCCGACCAGCATTCTCCAACCCACTCTGTCCTGGGCCTTCTTTTCTAATTCCATCCAATTCTTGTTCAGTTTTCTCATGTCTATCTCCATTTCCTGGCGTAATATGTTCTTTGTTCTTCCTATTTTCGTTTGGCCTTGAAGATTCCATGTGAGGGCTTGTCTTGTGACACAGTTGAGTGCTTTCCTCAATGTGTGTCCTATTCACTTCCAGCTCTTCTTCCTGATTTCTCCCTCCGCTGGGATCTGGTTTCTTCTTTCCCATAGTTGGTTGTTGCTAATAGTATCCGGCCAACGGATCCGAAGTATTTTGTGTAGACAACTGGTAATAAACACCTGTATCTTCTGGATGATGGCTTTTGTAGTTCTCCAGGTTTCCGCCTCATACAGTAGAACTGTGTTGACATTTGTATTGAAAATCCTGACCTTGGTGTTGGTTGACAGTTGCTTTGAGTTCCAGATGTTCTTTAGTTGTAAATATACTGCTGTTGCTTTACCGATCCGCGCCTTCACATCCGCATCAGATTCACCATGTTCATCAATGATGCTGCCCAAATATGTAAAGATTTTTACATCTTCCAAATCTTCTCCGTCAATTGTGATTGGATTGGTGCATGTTGTGTTGTATCGGAGAATCTTGCTTTTCCCTTTGTGTATATTGAGACCTACTGCTGCTGAGGCTGCTGCTACACTGGTCGTTTTCTCCTGCATTTGTTGTTGCGATTGCGATAGAAGGGCCAGATCATCTGCGAAGTCTAGATCGTCCAGCTGCATCCTAGATGTCCACTGTATCCCGTGTTTCCCTTCAGGTGTTGACGTCTTCATGATCCAGTCGATGAGAGTAAACAACCTTGCCTGACACCGGTCTTTATTTCGAACGACTTTGTTAACTGCCCTCCATGCACGATTTCGCAGTGTAATCCATCATATGAATTCTGTATGATATTGACTATCTTCTGAGGCACGCCGTAGTGTCGAAGAAGTTTCCATAGTGTTGTTCTGTCCACGCTGTCAAATGCTTTTTCGTAGTCAATGAAGTTGATGTAGAGTGATGAATTCCATTCAATTGATTGTTCCACAATGATCCGTAGAGTTTCGATTTGGTCTGTACACGATCTAACCTTACGGAATCCAGTCTGTTGATCTCGAAGTTGGGCGTCTACGCAGTCCTACATCCTGTGTAACAAAACCCTGTTGAAGACTTTTCCCGGTATTGAGAGAAGAGTGATGCCCCTGTAGTTATCACAGTTGCTGAGATCGCCTTTCTTTGGTATTTTGATCAGAAGTCCTTCTTTCCAGTCTGTTGGTACTTGTTCTTCATCCCAAATCTTATTGAAGAGAATGTGGAGTATCCTTGCAGTTACTGCTACATCTGCTTTCAGTATCTCTGCTGGAATGTTGTCTGGTCCTGCTGCTTTGCCACTCTTGATTTGCCTGATGGCCATGATGATATCTTCAATTGTTGGTGGGCCAAAATCGATTGGGAGGTCCGTGGGTGCTGCTTCGATGTTGGGTGGGTTCAGTGGGGCTGGTCGATTCAAGAGTTGTTTGAAGCATTCTACCCACCTGTTTCGTTGCTCTTCAATGTTGGTGATTACCTCGCCTTTCTTGCTTTTGACTGGTCGTTCTGGTTTTCGGTGATTTCCAGAGGGTTTCTTTGTCGTGTCGTACATTTCTCTCATGTTTCCTTCTCTTGCAGCCTTTTCCACCGTCGTTGCTAAATCTTCCACATATTTACGTTTGTCAGTTCTGATGCTCCTTTTCACTTGTTTGTTTACTTCTGTGTATTCAGCTTGTGCCTTGGCTTTTTCTGCTGTTGTTCGACTGGTATTGATTGCTGCCTTCTTGTTCCTTCTTTCTTGAATCTTATCCAGTGTATCAACAGTGATCCATTCTTTGTGATGGTGCTTCTGGTGGCCCAGGACCTCATGACATGTTGAAGTGATTGCCTTTTTGATCCCCTTCCAGTTGCTCTCCATAGTAGTTCCTTCTCCATTGAGTAAATCATGAAAGGCCTGGAACTTGTTGCTGAGGACTATCTTGAATTTGTTGAGTTTGTTAGTATCTTGGAGAAAGGCCGTATTGAACTTTTGTGATACTGTCTGCCCCGTTGTCCAGTGCTTCTTGAGTTTCAATTTCATCTTGGCGACCAGTAAGTGATGATCTGATGCTATATCAGCTCCTCTCTTGGTTCTCAGGTCCTCTATAGTCCTCCTGAACGTTTTATTGATGCAGATATGGTCGATTTGGTGTTGCGTGGTGTGGTCCGGTGAAGTCCATGGGATTTTGTGAATGCGCTTATGTGAGAATGTAGTTCCACCTATGACCAGTTTATTGAAGGCACATAGATTTGCAAATCTCTCACCATTTTCGTTTCTTTCTCCCAGTCCGTGTCGTCCCATGATGTCTTCATATCCAATGTTGTCCGTTCCAACCTTGGCATTGAAATCTCCCATCAGAATGGTCAGGTCCTTTGTTGGGCACTTCTCGATGATTGACTGCAGCCTATCGTAGAATTGATCTTTAGCGTCTTCATTGTAGTCGTTGGTAGGCGCATAGCATTGGATGATGCTCATTGTGATGCCCTCTTTCTTTGTTTTGAAGCAGCCTTTGAAGATCCTTAGTTCATGAGATTCCCATCCTATAAGTGCATTTTGTGCTTGTTTGGACAGCATCAATGCAACTCCTTGTGTATGTGAGGGATTTTCTTCATGGCCGGAGTATAACAGGAGCTCTCCTGTAGTTAGTCGTTGTTGTCCAACTTGTGTCCAATGTGTTTCACTGAACCCAAGTACCTCTAGGTTGTATCTTCTCATTTCTGCAGCAATTTGGAAGGCTCTCCCGGTGTCCCACATTGTACGAACATTCCATGTACCTAAATAAATGGTTGCTCTGGTTGTCAGAAGGGGCATCGGCCTCGTAACTTCCGAAGGGATTCGGCTTTCATCATGAGGCGTCATAGTTCTTCTAAATAAAGACCTTCTGACTCCCAGGGCAGAGTTTAAAAGGTTCGAATAATGTTTTCTCGTTAGCGTTTTTTTAGCGAGTTAGTTTTCTACGGGATGGGGACGCAAACCCCATGCCCAACCTTTCTCCTTTATCCGGGCTTGGGATCGGCAGTAGCCCCTGGGGGCACTCCAGGCGGAGTTAAGTTTAAGCTCTTAGCTGTATATTTTTAATGAGACTATATGAATTCATTTTGTCTGATGTTATGTTTCTTTTGTGGTTTGAGTAATGACTCGTCCGCTTAAGAGTATTATACGAGACACTTCTAACCTGTGACTCCATGTACGGAGTTTTATTTCATAAGCCACAGTATATATGTTTGAAAGAAAAGACTACTAATGAAGCAAAATTCACACTTTGATGTGTTTAGTTTTGACTGAGAAAGTGGAATGGCATCTTGCTAGATATTCTCAAATGATGTTAGTTACTCGAAAATTCCTCTAACTCTTCAAACAGCTACAATTTGCAGTCATAATTCCATATGAACTCTACAAATGGCATGTTTTTAGTTGATCAACAAAACTAATTCTGTTAATTTTCGAAATTGTATTGAACGGTGATGATTCGGATTTCAGAGAAAAAAACATCGTACTGGATGCTCCTGTTTTATGATAGCTTTGTGAGTGACATTTCTTAAAATATGCACTGAATGATTACTGATATGTTTACTCCATAACCAAATTTGAGTTGCTCAGTGATGACTTACGAAATTGAAGTTTTCGACAACTATTTACAGTCAAGCAATGAAAATCTTAACTCAGGAGGTAAATCACAAACTGAAAGGTGGGGGAAATATCCAGTTTTTGCCGCTATTCAGTTAAATAAAAGAATTACTCTGCTAAATAAATATGACGTATCTAAATTATAAAGGGTAACATTTCGCAGAGCAGATTATAGACAAAAAATATACATTGGTTAATAAATACTCAACAGATGTGTCCTTCAAATAATATTTGTTTCACTTTATTAATATTATATCAATGGTGAATTAGGGTTGTAATCGTTCCTGATCACATCTGAACAAGATTATCCAGTTCATTCTAGCTTAATACTGTTAGTCATATTAGCAACAGAACATTTCCCTAACCAAGAAATTAAATAAATACTAGTCGCTAAATCGTTTGACTAATCCAATGATTTACAATAAGCAAATAACTTTTAAGTGCCTTCTTTTATGCATAACTCATCTTAAGCATTTTACTAATTCGCTAATTTAAGGGTTCAGTTTTCAACTTAAAATTTGAGACTAATCCTTGGTTTATTAAATTTCTTTGGAAGGCATTAAGACATTGGTTTCGTGAAGGATTTCGGGGAACAGTATATCTTGGAGTGCCACTCTTAATGCTTATTTTGGGCAATATGCCATCTACGCCAGAATATGTTCATAATATGGTGAGAGATCGTTATTTAAAGTCAACAGGAGTAAGCTAATTTAGCATAAATTTACTGTTTAATCATTTATGTAATTCTAAATTAATTCTTTATTTCCTGGTTAAAGTACTTTTTGTTATCCGCAGACCATTGGTTTTGATTTGAAAAATATGAATAAGTTTATTAGACTACAGAGAGATTCCTTATGCTTAAATATTGCTATATTTATGCATGATTCTTGTTTAGTTTTAATATCACCTAATGATAAAGTCCTAAAACACATGAAACATAAATTAAGGTTATTATGTTATCCTGTGACATAGTCAAAAGTCACAAATCATCCTACTGGATTTGAGGTTATTCCCTTATTTTCGACCATAAATATACTCTGATTCACTTTCATAGAAGAGATCGTGTATGGATTTGATGTGAAGAAGTCAGATGAAAATAGTTAACTCAGTGACATCATGATTTAAAGGGAACTAACAATTAGTTATAAGTACATAACCAATAGCGAAAACTCATACTACCAAAGAGAGTTCAGTAACTGATTCTAAAAATAATCTAATTTATTAAAACGGGACAACACAATATGATCACTTCCACAGTGTTTACTTTGTACATCTACAGTGACTAATTAGACGTCTCATCTAAACAAATTTCTCGCTTACATTTTCAGGTCATTATACACATCCTTGATGATAAAGAATAGTCTGACACATCTTGGAGTGGTGATACATTGAACCAATCAGAAATCATCAAATGAAAAATGCACTTGATTTGCCTGATTTGTCAGTCAGTCAGTTACAAAGTAGGACCAGGTACATATATGCATCGGTCCAAGTTGCCACACCTCATCAGCACAACAAGATAAACACCAAATTCATAGAAGTAGTTACTTCAATGGTAGTAATATATAAAAGAAAGATTGTGTATAAGAATATAATATAGGAAGAAATAATTAGTTCATAGAAAGAAAGATATGAAGCGATTTTAATCTCTTAGTTTAAGGGAAGTCAAAGAGTGTATACACCGACGCCATTGTGATCTTTTTTGAGCCATGTCACCAACAGTCTCCAACCATTGGTTACGATAGTCATGTGGACCCCAACCAAGTAGTCTGTATCTACCAACATGGCTCAGACTAGAAGCTAACGAGTTCAATCACTGATGCCACGTTTTGGTTTGGCCGCCCCTAACTCTTCCAACCATCTCCAACACTAGTCAGCATTGTGCGTCGTGGTAATCGGTGTCTGGGCACACGTAACACGTGGCTCAACCATCTCAGTCGATGAAGATTCGCACAGTATACTTGTCCTTTAATTGATAGACGGATATTTCACCTTCACCATAGGTGATGTAAGTTGGCAAAAGCGAAACGAGCTTTGTGAATCCGTGCATAGTTTTGGTCAGACACCAACCAACTAGGGTTGATCAGACTTCCAAGATAAGTGAAGTTGTCGATGCGTTTGACTACTTCACTCCCTATCCTTGATTCGGGTGTTGATGTAGATCAGTCCTGAAGCAACAAACTTGCATTTATAGGAAAGAAACACATCCTAAATATCCCAGCATTGTAGCTCAGTGCTACCAAAAGACTGCATTCAGTCAGCGTCTTCACCAAACAGGACACATTCATGAATGCATTTAGTCAAATAAACTAGCTTCCTCACTCTTCGTCTGTCCTATAGAATAGCCGAGCTTGTGTATAGTAAGAGTGCCTATTGGCATCAGCTTTCAGACGCCGCACTTTACAGCAATTGGTTTTTAAAGTATTCTATAAAATACGATGCCATAGGATACAACTGAATTAGGATAATCATAGCATTTAACAAATTCTCTGTTATTCATTAAGTTTGACCACCGAAAGTCATCATTGACTAAATAAAACACCACTTCGTAATGTTGTAGGTGAGTCTTTCAATGGAAATTTATGTAGTCAGATTTATGTGTTAAGAAAAAATAGTTTGTTGGTCTATTTCCAATGTTTATTTATAACATGCTTTTTGTTCAATATAAAAATCTACTTAATTTGTAAAGGCTTGTATTATCTCATTGTTGATATTACAGCCTCCAATCTACCATTCTTTTTTGTCATACATATATCCTGAGCTAATCGTTTCTATACTCCCATTTATTCACAAGTCATTATTAAAGTTTGATTGTGGCGAGCAGTGGGTCCGGTAACGTACATTTCGTCCTGTTTTGGACTCGTCATTTGGGCACATCTGCATTTCATTGTTGATGTTTACCATGAGACTCGAACTCAGAACTTTTCACTCCAAATACCAACACATTATCCAGAACGCAGATTAGTTGTAGTCTGTAATATGGACAACAGCAAATAAAACTATTTACAGATAAAGTTCATACATAAGCCAGTGGCTGACTGAACTCGTTGTGTCTCAGTAGATAACGCATTGGTGGATGCAGGTGCATCCAACTGGCAACTTTCAAACAAAATGAAACACACGTCCTGGATTTTACTGTTAGTCATTGTCTCATTTTAATAATAATACATTTGTCGAAATATGCTTATTTTCCTTATCATCCGTTGTTTTATTGTTTTGCAAAAAGGATGATATAGGTGAATTCAATGCTAGAACTCCAGTGAAGCCGATTGATTAAATATGATGCTTGTAGTTTTCCTCTTGTATCATTGTAAAATGGAAAGGGTGACCGGTAAACTTAGTCGGTAGGAATGTGTGTTTTCACCTAATTAAAACTAATTCTTTAATCTTCTATTATGATATATGTTTGATGTACAGAGAATCTGTAGAAATAGAATAAAAAATTATTTTCATTTCGTATTTTTTGATTTTTTTCACTAGCTGTTGTAAATTTTGAGGGAATATCCGTTTACGTTAATATTTAGTCAATCTAGTCTTTTAACTATTCGCATATATTATCATGTAGATGTAGGAGATATCTTTCACGATGTGGATCAGACAGTTTATCAGTATATAAAACGAATAGAGAAATTCTTTTATTATTATTATTATTATTATTATTATTATTATTATTATTATTATTATTACCAGCTTTATTCAATATTATATTTTTGGTACAATATAGAATTCTCAGCGCAAAGTATTTCAACAAGTTTCCGTTTCTTTCTTCTTGGTCGGTCCTGGCGATAAATATCGAGTGATCGCCAGTTAGATGTTAGCAGTTCAGTAAATGAACATCTGAATAATGTGCATTCTTCTCGTTGTATATTGCCAGCAACCACATTGTTTCTTATTGAGTTTTTTGTAACTTTGACAACGAAAGGTTGTACACTTTTCAGAAACGCAGCAGAATAGGTTGTGCGATAAATAAACATAATGATAGATTAATACAAACAAAAATAGATAACTTGTTGAAATATCTAGGTGGCAAGAACAGGTAGCCCAGATGCTATATGATTGTATCTCTCTAGCTTTTTCGAAACACTGGTTAGGTTGAATGGTAATACGATGATAATAAATTAACTCTGAGAGTTTTTAAATTTAGAAAAAATAAAACTACTCACCGAAAAATTCCAATATATTTATAGTTACGCCCCCTGAATGCCCTGGTACGGCCGAGAGTGGGGAGAGTCCGCTCTCCCTCTCGAAATACTCTCACACGGCCACGCGTATACAGCCTCTGCCAGGGAAGTCCTACTCATTGCCTTCTCGTGGCGGGGGTGTTGTTTACGAAAATGAGAGGACGAAAAGCGAATGTCCGGCGCTTTAACCGGATTCCAAATCAATGGTGCACATGGGCTCCAGTATCCTGCGGGAACGAATGGCGTATGAACCAATCGTTGGTCACCGGCTACCATGGGACTGCATCTCCTTACGATGCTCCACTGCCTTGTGGGTTAGACCTTTAGGTCAAAGGCTCGGGGAGTGGCCCCCTAAGATAACCACCTGCTTCGGTTTGGGCACCCGGGCAGTATCACAGCCCACACACAAATGATGAACGCTTTATGTCTATGGAAATTACTTTTGTCGCTTTGAAGAACAAACAATTGATTCAGATTATTATCATTACAATTATTGTCATTATTAATACTAATATTATTATTACTACTATTATTGTCATTATTGTTATTATTATCATTATTATTATTATTTTCCACATTATTCACCCTCTTTTATACTTATACAGCGGCTCGTCTTTGGTGGAATTCCGACTGTATCTAAACGTTCTCGAGTCACTGTCCGGTTGAAAATTGTATGTTACCACCGAATACGAGGACTGAAGCAGATTTTCTGAAACCACGTGCACCATTCAAACTGGCTGCCTTCAACGTTCGCACATTTATGCAGGTCGGACAACAGATAGGGCTGGCTATGTCTTTGGAAAGTCTTAATATCGACGTGTGTTGTCTATCCGAGACCCGTATTCAAGACTCTGGCGAAGTACTACAAATTCGATCTCCATCTGTCGCTTCGAAAAGCTTGTTTTACGTGCGCTTATCCGGGGACCCTGTGGCATCTTCGTCTGGTCTTGCTGGCGTTGGTGTCGCACTAAGCGCTAGAGCTGAGGCAGCACTAGTCGATTGGATCCCCATTAACAGTCGGTTATGTGCTGTTAGATTAGAAAGTTCCATCAAAGTGAGAAGAAATCGGCGTGAGAAACGATGTCTTTTCGTCATCTCCGCCTATGCCCCGACAGATTGCAGCCCGGATGCAATCAAGGATGAGTTTTACCACCAGTTATCAGTTCTTCTCCAGAAAGTGCGTTCGACAGATATTGTAGTACTAGCCGGAGACTTGAATGCTCAGGTCGGGCGTCTAGGCACAGAAGAGAGTCGTTTAGGTGGCCGATGGGGACTCGTTGGTCGCAGGTCAGATAACGGGGACGGGGACCGTCTACTGCAACTTTGCACAAACTACAACCTGTTTCTGGCTAGCACTAACTTTCGGCACAGTCATCGCCGATGTGCCACCTGGCGTCCTCCCTCTGCATCTCAAGCCTGGACTCAGATTGATCACATCGCGATCAGCTACCGCTGGCGTGGTTGTGTACAAGACTGCTGCTCCTTTTGGAGTACCTATCTGGACTCTGACCATGCCTTGGTCTGCGCCAATCTTGCCTTACTTTTCAGTGGACAACGAAGTGACCGCCATCAACGGATTGATGTTAGCAAGCTGGTTGCAACTTCTGTTGCAAGTAAGTATCGAACCGAGCTAGCCTCTAGGCTAGCTACCACTCCACCGAAAAGTATAGATGAGCATTGGTTGCAATTGCATGACGCCATGAAAATGGCGGGAACAGTCAGTTGTGGGTTTGCGAAACGTCCCGCTTTTCAGCACTGGGTTTCTTCTGGTTCCTTACAACTCATTGAAGCCCGTCGGTCTACTCCGGGTGACCGTGAGTTTGACCATAAACGAAGGATGTTACTTAAGGAAATCGGGCAAAGCTTGCGTAAGGACCGAGAAGCCTGGTGGTCGATGCGTGCTAATGAGCTGGAAGCAGCAGCTGCATCTGATAGCTACCGGAAGCTCTTCCAACTTATCCGAGCCACTGGCAGCAAGAAGTCTGGTGTGAGTGAAACAATCTGCGAGGATGATGGGATGCCAATCACTAACATCCATCGACGTCTTGGACGATGGGCAGAACTCTTCGAAGGGCAGTTCAACTGGCCTGCTGCTCCGGCAACATCGGTCAGACTGTCCTGCCCTCCATGGCCGGTGACGACTGATCCACCAAATGAGGAGGAAGTCCGCAAGGAACTCCAACTCTTGAAGCGTTACAAATCACCTGGCCCAGATGACTTACCTCCGGCTTTTTTTAAAGATGGTGGTGACTTTTTGACTAAGGAATTGACGACGTTGTTTACAAAGGTTTGGGAACTAGAGAGTGTACCAACGTCATGGAATGAGTCGATAGTTGTCCCTATCTTTAAAAAGGGTTCACGTCGTTCTTGTAACAACTATCGGGGGATAAGTTTACTTCCGATTGCGTCCAAGCTATTGGCTTCCGTCATTCTTCGTAGGTTGTTCAAAACCCGAGAAAGATTGACTCGCGAGGAGCAGGCTGGGTTTCGTTCTGGTCGAGGATGTATTGATCATATCTTCACCCTCCGCCAAATGTTAGAACACCACCATACTTTTCAAAGGCCAACAATCGTAGTGTTTCTTGACATCAGGGCTGCCTTCGATTCGTTGGACAGGACTGTTCTCTGGGATTGTCTATTGAAGAAGGGTGTGCCTGAGAAGTTTATCAACATCCTAAAAGCCCTGTATAAAAACACCTCAGGCAGAGTGAGGGCATACAACCACCTCTCTCCATTGTTCCATTCGAGCAGTGGGGTTAGGCAGGGTTGCCCAATCTCACCATTCCTCTTCAACTTTGCCATCGATGACATTCTGGAAACAGCTTTGATGAATGTAAGTAATGGTGGTGTGGATCTGTTGCCTGGAGAAAGACTTCTCGACCTTGAGTATGCGGACGATATTGTCTTAATGTGCGATAATGCCCAAGGCATGCAATCCGCACTTAATCAGTTGGCAATCAATGTCCGTAGGTATGGTATGTGCTTTGCACCTTCGAAGTGCAAAGTACTTCTACAAGACTGGCAGGATTCTAATCCTGTACTCACCCTGGACGGTGAGCAGATAGACGTAGTCGAGAAGTTCGTGTATCTGGGTTATCAGATATGGCTCAGAATAGAAGCCAGTGGCGATCCTGCTGTAACCTTTTACTTTCTTCATAAAAAGTGGTTGTGTCTCCCTTACCTGAAAGATTTCTTCTGATTGTACCTCTTCGTCATTACTCTCTTTTTCTTTTGCGTTTCTTAGTTTTTTTTTCTTTCTACTTCTCTTCGAATTCCCATTGTTTTGTGTGGCGCATATATATTGGCGCTCTCTTGTACCAATATTTATGTGTTCAAATAAATAATAATAAATAAATAAATTCTATACACATTCGTTAAGTAATTATTTATGCCTGTTAACCGTCGGGGAGAAGTATGTGGAGCCCGTTATTTTGTCGTCATTTATATCGGACGATGTCTGTTTACAGGCTCTCCACTTTAGTGGCCCGTGGATCTGACTCCAGTTAGATCGTATGAATGTTTGTTATTAAAAAAATACATATATCGCATATTCTCGTATATAATCATCGACTTAAATCGCGTTAGTCAATAACGGAATTGAATAAGTCATAACGAGAATGGACTTGTGAATACATATATTTTGTATATGAAGCGAATGGGATAGAGAGAAGAGAAACGACGCGGAGTGGAGATGGCGGGTAAGCCAACTTCCCTTTAGTCAAGCGTTAATCAATATTTATAGGCACACAAAAATAAGTTACAGACATGTGATGAGTAATGGGATAGGAAGTGTACACACACCTACGCGCTCATATAAAAACAGTCAAGGTTGATAAGCGAATAATTAACAAGGTCAGAATTTGACTCAAGTAGAATGAATAGATTGGGCTGTCCGAAAGCTAGGATAAGGTATATGGGCTTAACATAATAACCGACACTACAAGTTTACTCCGTCCACCAGGATTCCCCATCGAAATCTGTCCTCCTCTCGGAGTGCTTTCAAGTGCCATTCATTCTTTTGATGTCTGCCTCCGGCTTTCGAAACAATGATTTTTGGTCTCCCTCTTTTCTGTTTTGATTTCAGGGCTTGCCTCTTGATGCAGTTCAATGATTTCCTCAATGTGCCCTATGCACATGCAACGTCTTTTAATAATTAAATCTTCATCTAAGAGCTGGTTTGTTGTCCTCCATAGTAGTTTGTTGCTGATAGTGTCTGGCAAACGGATATGGCGTATCCCGAATAAAAAACATATGCATACATGTGTAATATTTAGGATTGCTGCAATGGTTCTCCAGGTTTCAGATCCGTGCAATAGAACTATCTTGTCATTTCTATTGAAAATTCCGACTTTGATGTTGGTTGACTGTTGTCTTGATTTTCATGTGTTCTTAAGTTATAGGATTGTTGCTCGTACCTTGTTAGTCCTTACCTTTACATATGCATCAGATATTCCCTGTTTGTCGACGATGCTGCCAAGGTTTGTGATAGTTTTCACCTCTTTCAGAGCTTATCAATCAAATGTGATTGCGTTGGTGTTCTCTGTGTTGTATTTGGGGAGCTTTCTCTTTCCCTTGTGTATGTTGAGGCCTTCTGCTGCTGATACACTGTTTGTCTTGACCTGCATTTGTTGATGTGTATGGGATAGAGGGGCCAGGTAATCTGCTAAGTCCAAATCGTCTGGTTGCATCCAACCTATCCATTTTATTCTGTGGTCCCCATCAGATGTGGATGTCTTCACAACATCATCGACCACCAGGAGGAAGCGAAAGGGCGGGAGTGGGCAGCCTTGTCTGACACCGGTTCTCACTTGGAATGCATCTGTCAACTGTCCTCCATGAACGACTTTATAGTGTAGTTTGTCGTATGAATTTCGTATGATGTTGACAATCTTTTCAGCTACTCAATTCATAGTGTCGAAGAAGTTTCTATAATTTTCTCCTATTGGCACTGTCAATTGCTTTCTCATAATCAAGGAAGTTGGTGTATAGTGACGAGTTCGATGTAATTGATTGTTCAACGATGATCCGTAGTGTCACTATTTGGTCTGTGCACAACCGATCCTTACGGAATCTGGTTTGTTGATCTCGAAGTTGGGTGTCTGTTAAATCTTTCATACGATTCAGCAACACTGTTGAAAACCTTTCCTGATACTGAAACAAGTGTGATTCCTCTGTAGTTCTCACATTTGCTCAGATCTCTTTTTTTTCGTATCTATATGAAATATCCTCCTTTCACTTCTATCGGGACTCTCATTTTTCCTCCCAAATCTTATTGAATAGAACGTAGATCGTCTTTTCACTTATCTCTCTGTCTGACTTTAAGATGTAAACTTATGAGTTCAACTGTTTTCCTATTGTGTACTTTAAGTATATAGTCAATAGACTCTTATGAGACATTCAAAAAATTTTCCTATTGATGTTTAGGACTGTAATTGAGCAGTCCATTTATTTAAATGATTCTATGTATATAAAATGAAGAGTAAACAACAACAAATAATTGACTTCATCTTACAATATTTATTATTCTTGTCTTACAATAAAAATGAAGAACTTGTCATTTTTACAACATGATGGGAACAACATTCGATGATTCTTTTTTTGTTTTCTTGAAAGAGAAAATCTCAATTTTCATTATCAAATAAATAATTTCAATGAATATCTGATAAATAAAAGTTGATGAATTGATCTATCTATTTGACGATGTTGTATAAGTTATTGAATCTATTGTCAATTGTTTATTCATTCATAAATGAATTTTGCTCTGCAATACTATTCAATAATAATAATAATAATTCCGATCGAACTAAAAAAACTCGCCTACGTTACATTTGTTTATTAAAAGAAATTAATCATCAAATTAGTTTTTTGTTGATTCATTTTTTAAAATGTGTATCTATATTATTGTATTAAATGTTGATTATTTATCAGACAACAACAATATAATCAGGTCAGTCTATAACATTAATCACTATGAGTATCAATATTAGAATGTAGGTACATCTGGGCGATAATTTTTGAATGGGAGGGTGTCCTCATCCTTCATTCCATTGCTAACTACTATTGAATACATCATTTATATAAATAGGTTACAACAGATTTTAGCTATCGATATATTAGTCTTTAAGATACAGTCTGTAAATAGAAAGAGTACAATAGTAGATTACTATTATTATGAAATTTGTAAAAAATAACTACCTGTTCTGCACTTAGTCTGTTGATTAGTTCATTTAGTAGCTTTGCTTCAATAAGTAAAATTACATTGATGTATGATTATGAAGATATTAAACAATATTGTATGAATTAAATTTCATTTTCGTTGAATAAATAGCGTTTTAAAATCTTCACTAAAGTAAGTAATTGAAGTGGCCCAAGATATATCCGTTTCTTACTGAATATAACAATAACTTTGGCCTTCAAATTGAATACTATCCATCAACTTTCAGGTAAAAATGCTGGTTGATAAGTCGTGAAATGATACTGCGTTTCTTTGCCTCAGTTACTATGTCACCGTTGAAGTGTAGTCATAATAATGGATTTTGTGAATGGATAGGTTATCGAAATTAGTACGAGTCGATGACAAGGTGGGATGCTTAAAAATATGTTTGCCATTCGTTGAAACAAATGTGGTTGTTTTTTTATTCATATACACATTTTGTTAATTACATAAAGTAGTTGTCAATGTTCCTGTCTCCTACCTTGGTTTCCTTAATGTAGGTTTTCATAAGTGAAAATATTGTCTAAATCCTTGAAGATTGCATACTGGATATGCACCTAGAAACATAGTGCCTTATTTTTTTAAAATAACATAAGAAGTAGTTACTTGAAACTTGTCTATTGTAGATCATCGTGGTTAGGTTTACCAACTACCTCGTAGCCAAGGTACACGGCTTCCTGATAATGGCCTCCATCCACCTAACAGAGTGCTAGTCCTCCTATCTATGATATAGTGTAAATGCAGAGTAAATAACCAAACGTCATTAGGTTTTCTGATTTGTAACAACCGTTTCAGAGTCATGTGATACTATCTCAATGACATTAACGTTACTCGTCCATGCCGTTAGATGGTTAAACGATAATGATGTAAACTTTATATTTTTTCTATCTCTGTGGCTTTATAGTTCAAGTATAATTGGGTCGTATACAGTTGTGTTCAGTGATTATGTTGTTTCGGTCTCATTGTTTAATCGTGATATCTATATTATCGTTTCAAATAGCATCAAAACTTATTTTTAAGAAATTAGCGTAGCTATCCATTTTGATATGAGTAATTTATGGATTTCGACCTCCTGAATTATAGGTCCTTGCCAAAACCAGTTGATACATTAATAAATCAAGGTAATCATATGAAACAAAGTAAACTAATGAGTTTCTGACTGAACTAAAAATTGGACATGGGTTGTCAATAAACTTGATCAGTTAGCAGTACTTCAGGCTTGTTTCTTGAAATGTACTAAACCTCTTCAATTATTATCTTTTTAATATATGTATAACAGTAGCAAAACAATTTGGAGATGAAATAAATGCATCAGTTAGTTATGCAGAAGTAATTTTCAAAGATGTATGGTGTAGATAAATGTGAAACGAACCAGACATCTGTGTTTTAAGAAAACAACATTTCGTATAATCTTATGAATACCGTAATTTGTTTACTGTCTTATCCTTTTCATCGAATCTTGGAAACCCATTCATTTCGGATTATTCATATTAGACACTTTTTCACCTTAAACCGAGTAATGCTTCAATTTCCGATAGTTATTTAAATTAAAAAAATATGATTTATAACAGCTTAAAGACTTACTTTTTTCCCAAACTACCTTACGGGTTATTTTCTTTAAGTCCATATACAATGAAAAAAATGTTCTGATTAATTCTTTAGTATAAATACTTTATTGTATACAATGAAATTAGATAGATACTCTTCTGATGAATGGATGAAAACATTCATCCACATTCCAATTGAATCAGTTTTCATCCTAATCATATTTATTTAATCTATCAAATAGAGAAATCCAATAATAGCGAATTCATTGTCAACACTATTACTATCTGAAAAGGTCACTTAATATGCACACACAAAAAAGGCAGTTATGTATTCATTATCAAATTGTTATCTATCCTAATAGTTTCACCTGTTAATGTCAATGTTAAGCGTATTTTGTGTTTTAATGATGAAATAAGAAAAGAAAATTATAGGAATATTATATGTTGATTAATATCAAAAGATAGTCGATTAATAGTTGTAGAGAGAGATAAGATACAGTTTTGTAAAATAAATTAACATATTTAGGAAGAATTGGTATATTAGATTATGATTGAAGTAGTAACTGGTGAACGAAGGAGAATATTTAAATATTGAATAGTTGGTCTGTTTATATTTCAAGATTATATCTCCAAAATTCCTTGGTACCTGATTAATAATCAATGTATGTGTGTCAAGTCTCTCTTAGTGCTGATCGAATTCTATCGATGAAAATTGTGTGTCATATGATTATTTTATGATATTTTACTTGAACTCATCAGTTGTTTTATATCATCTACTTTGAAGTTGGCTAAAATTAATGGAATTATTTATTCTTTCAATCGAAATATCTTGATTATGTGCTTATTAAAATTTGTCAGTTTTCATACTTTGGCATTGAATTTTACTTGCACAATCGAACTATTCAAAATTACTTCATCGTTTATTGGATCATGCTTTCATAATAAATTTTTGAGATAATAAGGTGAGACTATAGTTTATGGACGGTCTTTGGGAGACGCTTAAGTGGCCTTGAAAATATCCAACAACTAACTAGGATTGAATTAGGGTTATAAACCAGTGCGAGGAATTAGAATTATGGTTTACAGTCGATGGTTAGGGTTAGAAAGTGGATTTAATATTTTCATCACAAAATGACAGCTAAAATTCCGAAACGCTATTTAGCCAGTTGAATGAATGAATTTCACGCTAAAATCTAAGACCTGTTATCTTATATCTGATTGGTTCGTCTATAAATTATAGTCTTGCCAGTAAGAATTTAAGTGACTCAATAATGGTATGGAAAAGCGGGCAGTGAAGGAGTTAGGAAGTTGATTGTTAGTATGCTAAAAAAGATATAAAGAATATTTAATGCACATATTGGTGATCAAATTATAGGGTTCAACTTTTAACAATTTTGAAAAACTACACTTGTTCAAATTGATATTTTACTTATTAGACTTATCTTTACATTGTCATGATGATTCACTTGTTATAAAAATCCAAACTTAAAAGTATGACCAAGTTATTCAAATATATGATGTTCTTAGCCTACTGTACAACGTTACATAAAATTTGTAGGTATCATTACCAAGGTTCGACCTTATAATTTCGAATAAACTGAACATAAGGTCAATTCTTATAAATAAAAACAATATATTTGTAATATCTCAATGAGTAGAAAAATTAAATTTTCTGACGTTTCATGACTTAGTATAAGCCACTTCTACAGATAATAAATAACCAAATTACATAGAATTACTGGCATACAATTTGAAGACGTTAAAAATAAGTAGTATTTTGTTATTCTTTACTTAGTACACAAAGAACCTATACAATTGGTTCTTCAATCGTTTTTCAAATAGTAAAACCGTTAAACTTTCCAGTTTAGTTTATGCAAAGGTTAGAAATATTTCGATTGAAAGTCAATTTTATAAATAAACAAGATGATAATTTTCTTTTAAATATTTAGTAAAAGTACATTATCTTTCTTAGTTCTCAAAGGTCGTGTAAGTTATACTCTTTTGAATAATATATTAATAATTATTATATAACTAAAGAAAATAACCCATAAGCTGTTTTACATAGTTCATTAGAATCTAATTTACTATAAACAAACTATACAACATATATATGATACTAATACATTCTGCCAAATACTATATAACTTAATTAATGGAAAATTTCAACTTAAATATCTTTATTAACAATAAATCTATTTAAGAACAACAATTCTATTTCTATTTCTTGACAGATTAGTTTATTCAAAATTCAATCTTTAAGTAAAATAAATCCATTCGATTGAATGTATATATATATTTCTTTTTAAACAAATTTTAAAATAAGGTTGATTGAATTACTCAGTAAATTTCTCAAGAGATTAATACATCATATTCAAAGTTCAAAATTTTCATTTCTTCTAAAAAGAAAAGTAAAAAAAGAAAGAAAGAAAGAAGTAACAAGCTGTTTAACGATACTAATCAAAATTATGTGTAAAGAAAACAATCTAAAAAAATTTTTCTCGTTGTTCTCGATGTTGTTGTTGTTGTTTTTCTTTCTTTGACTGATGATAAAAAAAGAGAACAAATACTCATCCAAATATTTTTGAATGAAGTGTAGTGTTCATAATTTCCGGATTTTTTAAAATAATAATAAAATGATGTGAATCTATCTTGTTTCTAAAAACAAAATTCTAAATTGTACTGGAGTTTTATTTTTTCATTTATTTTTTTTGTTTTTTTTTCGTTTTATAAATGGGGAAAATTGTTTCATTTAATTTTCGTTTATTGTATAAAACAGTAATGAACGAGAAAAGATACCTTAACAACAAATTGTTCTGCTATTTCTCTCCTTCTTTTTTTTTGGGAAAAAAATATTCAACACTAGCGTTACTATGTACGTGTGGATTTCATAGGAAGTATTTTCATAATTGTTGTTAGTTTTTTGGCGGGTGGTGGTGGTGGAATATTTATAATATAGACAACACTTCAATGTTAAGTAGTTTTCAGTAATAAATAAAGTGTTTAAATGATTAAAATATTATTATTCTTTTTTCAATTTCCAGGATTATGATTATTCTTCAATAAAAAGTCGACTAAATTTTAAAGCTAAACTTT